TTCCTGTCCCATTATATCAGGGGTACCTGATAGCACTGTGCCCTACTGACAATGATAACCATGGGCAGTCACATGGCACCTGCCAGGTTTCTCACTGCACAGTTGTTAGCATTCCCTGGGAGTCACTAAATCCTTCCCAACACTCAAAAGGGGAAGGAGAGTAAGCCCTGGGAGAAGGAGTATCAAACAGTGTCGTGAATTGTTCACAAACTAGTATTTATTACTAATAGCAATAAATAGTCATTAAAATGAATATTTGGAGGAGACAATATTTTGGGGTCTGTATAGAAATACTATTTCTCTTTCGTTTCACCCACTGATTCAATATTCATCAGTAAAATCCTGCTTGTAGAATATTATTGTGGGGTTTTTTGTTTGTTTGTTTTGCCATAAGGTGCACGGACTCACCAAAGACAGATTCAGAGACAGAAAGAAGTGAGAAAGCATCCCCAAAGGGGGATGCACTCGAACTATGCAGTCATGTGAGCTCCAGTTACCTTAACCCCTCACGCCATCTGCTGGCCCCTGCTGTGGTATTCTAGTGAGTGTCTATTTCCCTCACTCCTACACTTTTCCCTTTACATTTATGAATTCAAAATGTTCTTGGGGACCAGCAGGTGGCGTGGTGGTTAAGGTGCTAGACACTCCCACATGGCCGACTGCAGTTTGAATACCGGACCTGTTGGCTTGCTTTCTCACTTTCCTTCTCTCTCTCTCTCTCTGGTCAAATTAAAATAAGTGAATGAATAAATAAAATTAAATAATTTTTAAAAAAATTTTTAAAAAGTGCTCGCTTCGGCAGCACATATACTAAAATTGGAATGATACAGAGAAGATTAGCATGGCCCCTGCGCAAGGATGACACGCAAATTCGTGAAGCATTTCATATTTTTGGTATTCATTCTTCTTTTGAAATAAAAAGATGAAACACTTAAAAAAATTTTTTTTAAAAGAAAATGTTCTAAGGAAGAATGGTCCTTTCATCACAACTTATTTCATCTTTCATTTATTAATATCAGTATGCGTTCATGGTTATTTGAAAAACAGCTAGAAAGGGGACAGAGGGGAAGAAAGAGATGACCAAAGAGAGAAATGTGGGCATACATGAGTTGGTATACAAACGCAAGCACATATATGTACATCAGTTGGTATACAAGTGCAAGCACATATATGTATATCAGTTGGTATACAAATGCGCGCACGTATACGTACATGAGTTGGTATAAAACATGAGCACGCATGCGTACACAAGTTGGTATACACATGAGTTAGTATGTAAACATGAGCACGTGTACATGTATGAGTTGGTATACACACGAGTTGGTATACAAATGTGAACATATATACATACATGAGTTGGTATACACACAAGATACTATGCAAACATGAGTTAATACACGTATAACCAGCTCCTTCTGTTGAGAGGCCTAGAAGCATGGGCATCCTAGTAACAACTAGTACGCCTAGTGCTAGATTTTGTTTTCTAGATACTTTTTTTCAATAACAGCAACCAAGACCTCCTAGAAAAATGGCAGGTTGTAGGGATTGAGCAGGGAAAATACAAGATAAGCCCAGAAAATCCTGTAGTATCAAAAAGTAGTATTTCAAAGAAAGGAAAGAACAGTGGCAGAGTGTTACACTGGACCCGCATGGTGAAGGTCATGGGTTTGCATCCCAGGACCTCCTTGAGCATTCCAGGGTTGTGTGTGTGCCCATAATCCAGGCCAGCTGAGACTGAGAGTGCATTACAGCATACAGACTCTGATGGAGGTGCCTGTCTCCATCTCTGTCTCCCTCTTTCTGTCTCATGAAATAAATAAAACTTTTTTAAAAACATATAAAGAATAAGGCATGTCACAAGAACATGGGAGCCAGGACTAGCAGTTAGCGTAATGGCTATGTCACTGGACTCCTATATAGCTGACCGTGGTTCAAGTCCTGGACCTGTTGGCTTAAACTCATGCCGGGCACGTGTGCGTGCATGCCCAAGATCCTGAGAGGAGAATGGAGGAGAAGGGATTGTGGCATGGCCATCCCCCCTGGGGGTCGATTTCTCACTTTCTGTCTCTGGTGAGCACATGTGCCCTATAGCAAAAACCGCTAAAAAAAAAAAGAACATGGGAACCAACCTGAAAAGACTTCCCATGGCCAGAACTAGACTATTAATACCTGAACAAGAAATAAAAACAGAGACCAGCAGATGTCATAATGGTTATTCATTGGACTCCCACATAGTCAACCACGGTTTGAGTCCCACACCCAGTGGCTTAAAACTCATGCCAAGTGTGAGTGTGTGCATGCATGTGTGCCCCAAATCCTAAGAATGGAGAGAAGGAACTGCAGTGTAGCTATCATCCCCAGGGGATGATCTCTTGCTTTCTGTCTCTCTGTCTCTATTTTTCCAGTGAGTACACATGCCCTATCGTAAAAGACTCTCCAAAAAATAAAATAAAAACAGTATTGCGTTATAATCTCTAATGGTTTTTCCTTTATTCACAATAGTGTGCATGGGTGCACATGTGAGGAAGAGAGGGAGAGGGAGAGAGAGACACAGAGATAAAGAGAGCGATAAGCACCCTCTACAGTGTCTAGCTACACCACGATCCCCTTCCTCCATTCCTCCAGCCCACAGGATCTTGGACACTTGCACACATGCCTGATGTGCTTTGGGATGACTGGGCTGGAGACTGAAACTGTGGTCAGCACATGAGATCCGGCTGGGTCACAAAGCCAGCCCTATGGTTATAACACGGATATTGAGAGCAGAAGAGAACTCACAAAGTGAAATCCGAAGTCCAATCCTCCTCAGGCTTGGACTATACAGGTTAGCAGTCATCCTTTTCTAGGACATGTAACAGTTGACTCTATACCTCTGATTCTATACATCAAGCAACCACAAAATACCACTAGCCTAGAGACAAGTACATTTTACTTTGGATAAAGTCAATATGCAAAATCATGATTTATACAACAGAAACTCAACCCTGTCAATAATCCTCCCCCTCTACATTTACAAATGAAAAAAAATAACAAATTAACACCCAGTCAGTGGTATTTTTAGAAGATCTTTACTTATTATGCAGTTTTAAAAGAAAAATATGGGCCGGGACCAGCAGTTGGCATAATGGCTATGTCACTGGATTCCCATGTAGTTGACCGCTGTTCGAGTCCTGGACCTGGTGGCTTAAACTCATGCCAGGCACATGTGCATGTGTGCCCAAGATCCTGAGAGGAGAATGGAGGAAAAGGGACTGTGGCGTGGCCATCCCCTCCTGGGAGATGATGTCTCGCTTTCTGTTTCTCTGTCTTTTTCTGTCTTTCTGGCGAACACATGCGCCCTATAGCAAAAACCTCTCCAACAAAAGAAAAGCAAAAAAAAGAAAAAGAAAAATATGGGGGCCAGTAGGTCTGAAGCAACTGCTCAAGGACACATCTTAACAAAGGGCTCCCTAACCAACTGGCACCAGAACACATCATCATACGTCTCTGCAAAATGCATGCTATAAACTGCGACCCTGTCTCCTGCCTGCTGCAATGTTCCTGGATGAAGCAACAGAAAGCCAGTCAGAACCTTTGCTAGTTATTTATTTATTTATTTAATTTTAAAAAGTTTTGCTACCCTGGGGGGTGATTTCTCGCTTTCTGTCTCTGTCTCTGTCTGTCCAGCGAGCGCCCACACCCTATAACATCAACCTCTCCAAAGGAAAAAAAAAAAAAAGAAAAAAAAAGTTTTGCTACAGAGTATGTGTACTTGTTTGAGAGAGACAGAGAGCAAGAGAAAGTAAGCAAGCAACCCTCAAGGAGATGGTCATGCCACACAGTCCCTTCTCCTTCATTCTCCTCTTGGAATTTTGGGAATGCATGTGGATGCACCTGGTGTTTCCAAGCTGCTGGATCCAGGACTCAAACTGCAGAGCTGGTCATGTGGAAGCCAGCTGCTTTAACCACCACACCACTAGCTGGCCATGCTTGTGCTATTCTTGTAAACCAATGAAAATTCTTTTTTTTTGGAGAGGTTTTTGCAATAGGGTGCGTGCGCTCGCCAGAAAGACAGAGAGACAGAGAGATAGAAAGCGAGAAATCAACCCCAAGGGGGGGATGGCCAGGCCGCAATCCCTTCTTCTCCATTCTCCTCCCAGGATCTTGGGCACGCACACACACACACCCGGCGTGAGTTTTAAGCTACCAGGTCTGGGACACAAACCGCAGTCGACTACGTGGGAGTCCAGCGACATAGCCATTATACTAACTGCTGGTCCCACCAATGAAAATTCTTAATAGACAAATATCTGTAAGTCCCTCCTTCTTCCCCCCATTTTCCCTTTATAATCTAACCCTTTCAGAAGCCAATTAAATGAACATGGATTCCAGGCAGCCAGAATTACTGATATATCCACACAGACAATTGTCCACAGCCCTGGTTCAAATATACTCCTTGGTTATGCATTTTGCCTCGGCTTTATTTTAGGTTAACAATTCAATAAATACGGGGAAGCTGACAAACACCAAGATTTTAAGAAACTGTTCTGAAGGAAAAAGCCACAGCAATCCTTCATGGAGCCATCTAGGCTCACAGTTCCCATTTCCATGAATGGCAATTGATCAATCATAGGCAACAGATTTCTCCATTCCTGCCTGAAGGCTATTTTTCAATATAATATTAATTGATAAAAAATAAACTGCAAGGACTTCTAATACACTAGACTAAGGTTTCGTTTATGAAATCCACATAGCACAACGTTCAGGAACATACAGACCATTTGAAGTTGAGGCGTACTTTTACGACTTAAATATCTTGTGCCTGCCTATTAATCACTGACATCATTTATCAGTCAACGTGGGCATGAGTATATTCCAGCATGATTAACATCACTCTCCTCGAAGAAATCCAGCTATGTCCCACGTGTCACTGAATGCGTACAGTTCCCGCCCACATTAAGTTGCCCTAGATTACTTACACCTGTATCTGTACTTACTGAAACACGGCACTGACAGCCTACCTTTCGAAGCGCTGTTTCATTTGTTTGCACGCATAGTAGTTTCCATCTCTCAGGCTCTGCATCTTCATAACTTCAGAAAACGTTCCCTCTCCTATCTTGCCAATTGCTTTATAGTCTGTAAGTGAAAAATATATAAAAATTAAAATTTTTAGGGGAGGGCAGCGACGTTAGCGTAATGGCTATGTCGATGGACTCCCATGTCATCGACCGCGGTGCGAGTCCCGGACCCGGTGGCTTAAACTCACACCAGGCGCGTGTTCATGCGTGCCCAAGATCCCGAGAGGAGAATGGAGAAGGGATTGCAGCGTGGCCATCCCCCCTGGGGGGTGATTTCTCGCTTTCCGTCTCTCTGTCTCTCTCTTTCTGGCGAGGGCACGTGCCTTATAGCAAAAACCTCTCCAAAAAGAAAAAGAAAAAAAATAATGCATCGTGACTTTTCCGACAACCCAGTACATAACAGGAGGTGTTAGTGCACCATTGTTTAACAGGACAAAACTGATAAACCAAATGCCCCCTAATTGTGAACTGAGTTAATTAATAATAGAATTATTAATTAATTATTATATTAATTATTATAATAATTAATAATCAAATATGCCATAATTATTTAAAAGAATGGCACTGTAGGCCAGCCAGTGGTGTAGTGGTTAAGGCAGCTGAATCCCACATAGCTGATTATATAGTTTAAGTCCAGGACCCAGTGGTTTATAAAACACACCAAGCAGTCTACAAATAGAACTACCATTTGATCCAGCAATCCCACTTCTGGGTATTTACCCAAAAGACAGAACGCTCAGTCAGAAAAGTG